GGTACCTAGCGCATACCAAATAATGGGACGGCTCCAGTCAGGCTAATCGTGGTTGACTGAGACGCTCTAATATCGTAAAACAGGAATCGATAACGTCCGCAGATTCCAGATCAATTACCTTTCACCACGCAGGACATCGGCGCCTACATCGTGTGATTCCATAAAGGAACAGTCCATCAGCGTGTCCAGGACGAAATTGAAAAGAAGTTAGGAAATCAGACTATCCTAACGAACGCAACTTGTTGTCCGAAAGCCATGCGGACATGTCACCGTAGACCCTGACTCGGCCTATAGTTTTCGGGTACAGAGCAAGTAAGATCTGTACGTATTTTGTGGCAACACCTTTCCTCGCATGCGTTTCGAACAGAATTCTTCTATCCACTGATTCAGGCACTATTGAAATCGAGGAATAAATATATTAGCATGCTGCAGTATGCATGACCATGCTCTAGCACCTGCTGCACAATAAATACACGGTCTATACAGCCAAGTATTGGGCAGAAACTAGCATGCATCACCTTAGTGGGTAGAAGTCCGCGAGTAGCGGACAAACTGAGAGAAACATGAAAGTTTTCCGCACAACATGTCATACGGCCCTCCTTGTTTTGTAGCAGTGTACACGCGCTGTCTCGTATTGTCTTACTGACGTCTGGTTTCCTGGGACCTTTGGTGTGACCAGCTGGAAGACCTTGCGGTAATTGCCTACTTCTCCCGCCTCCTCCATTTCATGAGCCCGACTGGTCCACCTTGCTTCCTTGTTAACAAGCAGGCTCAGCTTTTTTCGCGTCGAATGGTCCGTCTGGTCACATTGCGCGCAGGGCCAGCCGGGAGATTTCTTCTGAATTCCAACATGTTTACCGAGCTCTCAGCGATTAATTGACTGTTGCGGTGACGAATGTTAATGCCACAAGTAGATGCTCCTGCGTCATGCATGGCAGTCGAGGTCCTATTCCTCTGAAATTCAGTTTCATTAAGAGATGGCAACGAAATTTCGGCACGCAGTGTATCTTGATAGACTTGCCTGACCTAAGGCGAAAATATTTCTCATTTGCAAATCGCAGGAGACGCTTGGTGCGCCTCCCGGGAAAGTTCATGGAGCAACGGCAGCCTGCAAATGATGATCAAACTCGACCCTGGTATTACAGAACGGGCGGCAATCCAGGATGAAGCAACGTCACCTGTAACTTATCGCAATGTGTTCAATTTGGGTCAATGGCTGGCCAGCTACAGGAGGACGCCAAGTGGCACTACGGCGTCCAATGTGTCTAAAAGTGATGCTACTCAGAACCAACTGTTGCTTTGCACACAGCTGTAACAGACGCTCGCCTTTTTTAGTCAGTTCGGGGTAATGCCCTTAATTGACACTTTTCTGAGTTTCTGAGGATTTCGGACACCCTACTTGTGTGTTTATATCCCCGCGCAAGCACTATGAGATCTGAACTAGTAGTACTGCGTAATAGCGTGTCCAGTTCCAGATAGAATGAGTACTTGGCAGCATCAAAACTGCAGTTGTTAGGAGAATAAGCGGAAATCACAAACAAACAGCATTTTATGCTACTTCCTGCATCAACTTTGTTGATGTTGTCCAACAGGCTGCAAACAAACGGCTGTTCACCTAAATCCAACAAAGCAGCATTGGGGCTGAGAATGATACCTACCCCAGCTGACCCTTTAGTGTCGCCTCAGCGTCTCCGGATGCGCGCAACTAATAGCGAATGGACGAGACGGGTGCAGTTAAATCAACGACCCAATTAAGGTAATTGAACCTAGGTTCGGACACGACATACATCAGTACCCAGCGTGTCTAAGGTGCGTTCGATCCTGTTGATCCTTATTTCAGAGTGTGGAATTTGGACGCTGACAGGAGAATGGGGCGGCGTGAAAATATAAGTGGCTGTTTCGATAGGCCTCCTTGCTGGAAGGTGGCTGCAGATGATTCGACTCCCGTGCTACATCGGTTCTGTTAAATAAAATGGGAATTTTAGAAGGAAGGGTCGGTATAGGGTAAAAAGTTACCGTTGGAAAAGAAAGTAGACGCCAGCAGCAGCATGTTTATGCTTATCTGCTCTGCTTTATGCGGCCTATAAAGGGACCTTTGATAATCTGATCGAGGGTTGATGTAGGATGTAGCTAGAGTTCGGAGTAATCGTCACGGTTGTATGTCGGCTAAGATAGTACTATGTCGCCCAGACCTAGACAGTTGGACGATTAGGGTCCTTAACCAAATTCTTTGACTCAAAAGCCTGTCTACAATGCATCATGATTGTGGCCATGATTTAGTTTACAGAAATTGACGCCATCCCATTTCCAATCCCCAACTTGTAGGAGCAAGAGTCCTCGTTTTTTGACCTCTAACCATTGACCAATCTGGTGGGATTTTCTCACAAGGGGCCCTGAAGCACTAATCGGCATAGCTTAGTGGGTCAAAGAGATAAGCCAACCATGGCACCGCCTTAAAATCCTGGCTCGTTGCGATAAATAAAGTTGTGCATTAGCCAAACTGGATGGACACAGGCGGAAACTAATCTTCCACTCGAAGGTATGTGCGTGTTCACCGGTCGCACATCCATCATGCCTTCACTTATACAGGTTTGTTACAGTACACTTATCGAGCATAGAAATCGTTCCGATGTTGCAAGGAAGGCCGATAAGGTAGTGCAATATTTATGCTTGAAATAATAGTCTCAGTAATATTGTTTGCGCACATCACGTATAAGCATACATGTATAGGTTATTTGATCTATCCGTTAGGATGTCGGTTCTATCATTCGCCACTTCCTCTTTGTAGCTCCAGCTGCTCTCACTCCTGAGAACAACACTCGCTTACCTAAAACTAACAGGATTCTACCATGGATGAGAATCCGCCCTCAACATTCTGAGACTACTCGGAGCCTAACGGGATGAGCCGATTAACTGCACACGCAGTACCGAATCCATACTTAATTCTAGATGGCGCGCCTCTCATGCGTTGGCGACACAAAATGGAAACTGCGCCAATCGAGTCTCGGTACGCCTATTACGCCGCGAACGAATATCCCATTTGTGCGACGAATTATCCCATTGGTAAAACCAAGAGGTCGAGAATAAATATTTCCAAAGCGGATGAAGTTAGTTGGTAATATAAAACCGTTCTACTGATATCTAGGTATCATCAATAAAACTGCAGGTATTTATGTTAAGAAGTCACCCCAGTACAAGCTCATACCATTACAAGCAGCCCAATTCACACGATTGTTTAACATCCGGCGTACGTCGCGTGACCTTTCATCTTTTCGAGAATCAGTGCCAACTCGACTTCCATCTGCAGCATAATGGACTACTGTCGAATGCTTACGTGGATGCTGCACTGACCAGTTGTAGGAAGCAAAAACGGAACAAATGAAAATGATCTACCCAGCCCAGAGAATATTTTAACGCCCTTAATTACTTTCAATGGTCGGTAGTTGAAAAAATTTGGAACGCAAAATTGGTGAATCATACGTTTCGGCAAAACAGCACACATCTCAATTTGAATTTCGATATCCAATATCTAAAGTATCGAGTGAGTTATAGCAACTTGGATATCTGGGTAACGTTTTGTTTACAGAGGAGTTGCAGAAAGCATTTGTTGCTATTGGATAGACTTATCACAACTGACCTTAACCAGTACTTCGAAAATGTTGGGTCTCCTGTTTTGATCATGCGTAGGACATATTTCGAGAAAGAATGCCGGTGCGTTAGAGCATGGAGTGTTATTCTATCGTATCCTGGTAATTTCTTGAAAGAAGACTAATCGTTATATTTTGTAAAAGAAAAAGGAACTCAGGATGTCACTTGCTAATCGTGAAGTACACTAATACAGGACTTTTGGTTAGTTTTCGGAGTTCTTTATGAGGAATTGTACATTGGGAAAATTACAATAAACCAGTGTTTTTTAATTATTTGTTCATCAACTTCGTGTATTCTAACTGGTTGGATTAGTTCGTGGTGAGCCATGGCGTTACAGATCCAAAAGAGGAAGTGTTTGGGTGTTTATCTTAGTAACTGTGCATATTCAGGCTGAACATATGGGGCGAAGTGACAGCGTAGACGCGCATCCATGGTCACTGAGATTGAGGGTTCGATTCAATCATCGGGTTTGCAGGTGGCTACATTGATAATAGTTTCGAAGGGTGTCAGCTGAGAAAGATAACATTTCCTGTGAAAAATGGGGAGGCCCTGTGGTGAAGTTCACGGAGCTCACTGAGCGTTAGGTAACTGAGCCACCGGTTCACCAGTTTGTTGTTTACGATGGGGTAGAACTAGTTTTAGTAGGAGTGAGTTAATCCACCTGCGTACACTGAGCAGCTTTTATGGGTAAAAATTAATTTAGTGCCACCAACAATAGAAGGCACGAGAAAGAACGAACAAACGGTAGACGATGGAGTTGCCTTCTTTGGGTAAACTCACTTATAAAATTAAGATCGAAGCGACCAATGCCAGGAATTTAACAGGAAGTCGGTTTTTTAGTTCCAAATGCACAACCGCATGCTTGAACTTGTGCACAAATTTAGTCGCAAGCTGGGACTCAAACATGGGTAGGCGCAACCGTGCTGTAGAGTAAAAGAAAAAGCACTGGACCATTAAACTGAATCGCTGCGTTTTTTGTCAGTTTAGTATACAAATTCGCTCCAGCGAAACGAACACTCGGTTACAGATTTGATCTGTATACCTCTCATTTGGCTCCGTTGCACTGCGTATTATTTGTTTGTCTAAACCGGTTTGTAGGACGTAATCCTTTCGGCAATTGCCAAATAAACTTGCTTGTCCGATGCCATCTCGTTTTCGTTTCAGCGGGCATTCGATACTACGGTTCAGGTGACGGTCCGGTGGGGGTGTGTCCTCGTCGGGGTGTTTGTACCTCGTCATTATTCCGGTGCCGTGTTCCATCGCATCGATTTGCTTGAAGCGTTGCTTGCTTAGCCCAAAGCAATACTCCAATCGGAGAATTACATTAAAGTGGGTCACTGCCACCACCAACAATGGAACGCTGGCGAAGAATGTGCATGGAAGAGGATAGACTGGACAAAATGGATTTGTTACTCAGTTTAAAGTTAATGGAAGGTGGACGGTACGTGTGCACTGGATTAAAATATTCATGAATTATTGCCTTTTGATTCACATTCCTCTGGTAATATTTTCTAGGGCCCGCTAAGAAGCTGTGAAAAGACACTAGGGCGTGTGATTTCAAGGGAATAGAAATCTGTTTTGCTACCTAGCATAAATGTCATCTTGGGCGTTGGTCAATCAACTAGCTGACACAGAGAGGATACAAATGTCCGCATGAGATGGGGGTGCCATCTAAAGGAATTCAATTTTAGTCCGTAGGATTTTGAACCACGGAGTGTTGATTTGTTTGCTGTTTATAGAGAAGTGATGAAAGAATTTGGCAGCTATCAATAATGTCGCGGTTGATTGGAGGATAAGTGCGTTTGTTTGAGACGACATTTCCTACCTGCAGAAACTTAGACATCTGAAGAATTGCGCAACCACAGTGGTGGCAGGTAACTTCATTTTCGGTTTGATCAACATCTATACAGTAGATGGAAAAGTTTTGCATGCGAATAAATTCTCCAAACTTCATAGGATGGCACCATACGAGGTGGCATTGTCAGTGCTCTGGCCGTCTTGGAGTATACGCAACGGCTCCGTATCTGCTGCATCAAGCGAGTAGATACGGGTTTAGATGACACTGTTGAAGCTTTCCTGTCTTCTTATTGCTAACTTAGGCTTTTTCACCATTATCGTACCGTTCCAGATTCGCCTTATCCCCTATAATTCTTTGCCGTCCCACACCTTGCTTTGATAAGCGTTTATTTCCCAGTTTTAATTCACAGCAAGCGGGGAGCGTCACTCCTGCCCCGTCAGCAAGCCCACTTCGAACAAATTGCTCATGTCCAGTTTATCGTCTTCTATTTGGAGCGCTCTATCCTCCCTATCGTTTACATGCAAAAGTGTGTGAAATTTAATACAGATCGGTCAATATTAGATACCCTGTTGATCGATATCTGCTGCTTATCAGAAACCCACCTACAAGGCTCTTGCCCTTTGCTCGCCAGGGGATCCAGTTTAAGTGATATGAATAGTGTTTTGCAATGCGCAAATTTGGAGCCCATACCGATTAGGGTGCCACTGGAACCAGGGTTGGTTTTGCACTGAGTCCGCGGGCTATATTTACTCTGGTTGACTTGTTTCAAATCACCATCCACACACGCGCCTTCAAATTGTCTTGCTCGCTCAAAACTTCGAACTCGCAGGTGGCAAATAGCTGTTTGTTTATCACCGGTGTCTGCGGGCTCTCAAACTAGCATTGAATGACAACTGACGACCATCATCACTAAGTGAACCAGCTCCTTCTTCACAGAAGAATCGCGAACACTGGCTGGGGATCTGAAAGCCCAAGTTGGAAAATTGTCCCCTGGTTAGCTGCAGCTGGGCGGCCAATATGGTGTAGAATTCAATATTGATAACTGTGATTGGTTAGTTCATTTGTAGGAAAGCTAGCTTACTACTAACGAGCTCTAACTTTCGACATAGCTTCCGCCAGAAAGTGACATAACGCACACTAACCTAGAAGTATCTGTGTAAACCAATGAATCCCATTGCCATCACTTACCACCGGAGATGCAGGGTGCAATACTGTCGCTCGATTCGAAGCATACGTGTGGACACTAACAATGAACCTCCATGTGCTGATCTGCAGTTGCATTTTAGCAGACGCCTTCGACGACCTTGTGATTACCTAGGCACCGGCTAGATGGCCAAGACAGATCTTTTGCATACATATCGAATACACAGGATTTCGGTGTGAGCAAATGCTCACTGCAAACTCCTAACGGTCACTGGTCGCATGTTCGCCTGACCTTACTAGCAGCGGGCAATTCCTTTTGTGGTTAATCTAATAGACATGGACATTGGGTTTCTTCGCATTCTCTGAAATGTCTCGATGGTCTCTTGCAAATTCCGTCTGAAAGCGAAGAAAACGAGACCCTTGCGGGAATATTTTAAGTTGCCCATAGTTATTCGGATGTTAAGTAATTGTTCGAGTAACCTAGCGATAACGGGAGTATACTGGATAGTTCGTTAATTAGTGACGGGCTCTTGGCCCCCCATTTTTACAAGGAGCAATAGACGAGGTTTGCCGCATATACGGAAAGTAACTAGAATCTAACTACAATGTGAACATGTTCAGCGAAATCAATGGCATTTCATGTCAACCGAGTTTACTAACGGAGGGAAGAATACCATTGTAATCTGGTTTTGGCCACTGTTTGAGGCGCTTCATAGTCTGTAAATGGTCTAAAAAGAAATGTCGTCCTTTTATGTGATGCTTGATGTAAGTTAAGGGCAGCAAGATGTAGGGTCCGTTTCTACGTTCATGGAAGCGGCGAAGGAAAATCTAACTGCTTCACAAATAGCAGTTGGGTCGCTGAGATAGCGACCATCTTCATCAGTCAGTTCAGTGATCAAAGACATCCTATGTTTAGTTATATGCCGAGTAATTCCGTCTGTTCCTTTCCTTTCCATGTCATCTCTTAGGTGTTCTCCTCCTTCCTTTCACAGTTTCATTTATGAACGCCTGGCATAAGCGAGGGATTCATGTAATTTTCATGTTGGTGACATCTCTAGTTTTTCTAATCTACCGATTTACTTATTTTTGGATCAATCATATTGGCACTTGTATTCTTAGGACCAGTAGTAGTTATAGTATGATGTTGGAAAAGTAGAATCATGATGCAATTGATCTGGTAGTAGAATCATTCCACTGCAATAGTTTGAACACTGTGTTGAGTAGCTGAATATAATATGGCATTCATTTCCATATTAAAGGGAAGCAGCAGGTAGTCAAAACCGCAAAATTGTCTAAGAAGACAACTTGTGCTTCGGGGATCCCCAGTACCTTGGGAGACACATTTGGACTAGTAAACCATTGCGTCCAAACCTCAACTCTGATAGTTGACAGGAGAGACCTATGCTATGTTGAGGAGTTTTGTGGAGACTGAGTAATATCGAGTAGATTTGGCGATCGCACATTCGATCCAATAAATGACCCCGCACTTGGTAGTCTTTCGGAGTTACAATTATGCAATACCAAGGATACTTTGATCAGAGCCTGCTAAACAGTACCACATGGACAAAATACTTAACTAATAGTTGAAGAGGTAGTGAGTGTCATTGGTCTTGGATCGCACATTACCAACCTGGTTTACGCGGATTATTTTGGAAACATTTCGTCAAGCAACGTATTCCTAGTAAAAGTCGACGGGATTCTCGATTTCGGAAATAAAGACGTCCCAAATAGACGTTAACCCAATGAAAAATATCGGATGAATTTGCAGAATGTGACCGAAATTGCAGTGACCTACTTTTTATGCTTCAATAATAAACCGAAAGTCAGGTTGTACGTTAGTGGCGTAGTTTTATAGCACGAAAACAAGGGTGCAGTTCAGACCATGGTTAGTGAAGTTTCGAAGTTCCAATCCTGCTGCCGTCATAAAAAACAAACGGCTAATCCTGAACTATTTTGACATTTCTCTCTTTGGTAGACACCGGAAGGCTAAAGGTCTGGAATTGTCCCAGGAAGTCGTAGTGTTCATCCCTCACGTAGGATGTTTGTTATGTTACTGACAGTCCATGAGCAACTGAACATGTCAAAAGTTGTTGGTGAGTCACATCCCACCCGATTTCATAATTTTATCAAAATATTTATTCCACATTAAAACCGTAGTGAAGCACACATTTTAATTGTAATATATCCGTGGAGCAACTGCATATGCAATTATTTGTATTTAATAAAAAACTTATTGAACTCCACGTTTTAACTGCAATTTAATTTGAATAAGCTACATGAAATCTTGGAAAGGGTCACCCATCTGTCAACCCATAGTGTGGTAGATTATACAAACAGAATTATGGTATGGATGACAAGCCCTTGGCTTTCCGCATTTGGGCGCTCATAGTGGCAAAAGAGCACAGATCGAAAATTAATGCACACCGTTGTATGCGCTTAAGAGCGATTCAGAGGTTGCACTTTCGGAAGGAAGACAATCTCAGGCCGCCCGTATCAACAGCTGGCAAATCATTACAAAGAGTAATTTGAAGCCTTTAACAAATGCTTATCTATCTTCAAAAGTACGACGTGGATATTGTGTACACTCCGAGGGTGCTGGTGTTTATGGCGGAGGCTCTGTGTAGTGCTCATTATCAACATTCGAACACTGGCATTGAGAAATCAAGGCAATAAATCTGCTACAGTGACTAGCAGCAACATATCGTCCGAAAGAAATAAGCGTTCCTATGGAGGCAAACGTGATTTTCAAGGCTTTGCGGGAAGGGGTTTCAAGTGAATGACAAGATGTAAACTAAACGCTAATGAAGAAATTAACGCAGTTGCTCAATTTTCGAGAAGAGGTCACGATGTAAGACGGTTTGATGTTCAAGAGAAATCGCATTTCTCTCACACCGTCGCCTCTCAATGAGATGCTAGAGCACGCTCATCGAGTCTGTTTGTTGTTAAATACAGCATTAGCCGAGCACGCGCACCGATGTTTTGGCGCGGGATGATATTCAACTTCGAGACGAACTAGCACGTTTTTTGACCTGCCTGCTACAAGCAGGGAAGCAGTCATCAATATGATTAGATGCCAGTGCGCCAGACACAGAATATCGGAGCAAGTGATTTCCGACCATGACCCGAAACTTACAAGTGCAGCGTTCCAAATCATTGCGAACAAGAGTGATTTTTCTCATCGACCAAACAACCCGTACAACAGCAATTCTAATAGAAATGCGGAGGCAGCAGTCAAACAAGTCAAGAGGCTGTTAGAAAGGTAAATATGCACACATGTGGACCCATATTTGCTGCAGTTGGAAATGGGAAAATCGCCGTCATCGAACATTGGTATGCGTCCATTTTAAGGTTCATAAACCAAAAGGAAATAAACCCTTATATCTGCTTCGGCTGAACTTGTACACCCGATCTTGCCGTCTTATGAGCAACTACTGCAATATAAGAAAACATTTGACCAATTAGAAACCCTATTACAATACGGGGCTCCGGGCCCTGAGCTGTCAATAAATGAGGAAGTGTGGGTCCACCTAATACCGGGTGTCCACAAGCGACTGAAACAATGTGTGGTGACTGTGAAGGTCGGAGAAAAATCTTATGAATAAATACTGGAGGAAAGGCAATTCATAGAAACCCACTGCAGCTGACCGGACATCTGAAATGATGACCGGTTTCGGTGAACTCGCAACGACTGAAGCAAAAAAGACCACGCGGACTAAAAGAACGCACAGCGTATTTAATGACATCGATGCAGCTGATCACGAAAATGTTAGGAGGTGATGAGTTGATGCAAACCGATTACCAGTAACGAGGGACATAAAGGACCAATTGGCTGGCTTGACGTAAGTGAAATAAGCAGAATATTTGACGCTTACGCATCTTCGCCTATACTCGGATTGGTTCGTATATGGCAACGTCAAATATTTTTTGACTGATACAAAAGAAGAATCGCATGCACGCAGAAACATTAGTTGTGTATAGGGGATACTTATTTACACCAAATTTTCTACAACTTAATCATTTTCTTAGCGTGCTTATGAAGGAAATGTTTTGTTCCTGAAGGATAAAGTTCTGCGGCGCATGGTTTACATATTTTCATTAAAAATGCGTCAAAGATTTGTGGGGAAACTTGGTGATCCCTCCTCCCCGTTTTTTTACGTATAGCCATTCTTTTAAAGACAACTACTGTATTAACACGAAAGTCCATCATTAATCCTTAATTTCCGTAATGCTAAGTGATGAGGCATTTCCCGAAGTTTAGTCATCCTGGTCTATTTTTACTCCATTGCAGTATGGTAATCGTTAGCATAACACTGCCTCTCCTCGCTTAAAAACTCACTGTTCTGCATGCTACCTCATCAGATGCACTTCGAGATCGTCGTTACACAACGACGCAGTTAATTACTTCAAGGAACTATATAACATGCGGTCGGTTATCTAATCATTAGTTAAACAATAGTCCGCTATGACGTTGAATCGCATGATCTCTGTGTATCCACTCTTTTCATATCTATGCTGCATCTTCATATGTTGATAGACCTACCAGCTCTCTGATGTTCTGCATATTGTGCGGTACGGAAAAAGTGGTCGTAATTGTGGAAACACTTCTCGGTACATCAACTACAATAATTTTGTTTCGGGCATATCAGTTTCTTAAAACTAACCGGCGTTTAATCCGCTGTAACGGAGAGAGTAAAAAAGCTATGTGTAAAACATGGCAAATGATATTAAGCATCTGTTGGTATTCATCCAAATTTTAATCTCGTTGCCTAAAGCTACAAACAGATTTGCTTTTACATTTGATTGCCTTAAATTTGCATTACGCTTAAGCCAACCAGCAGACAAATCGCATTGACCGAACAGTCAAATTTACTCGAGCAAGCGTATCATGTTCTCAATGAAAAAAGTCATAATCCGCGGATGTCTCAGTCAGTGAGAAACAACTCACGGCGATATTGAGGATGACCAGTTAGCCTGCGGCCATAAATAATCAACGAATATTCTACATTGAAAAATTGGAACAAAAACAAAAAAGAAAATTTTGCGGTGTTGCTCCTCCCATCATTGGTATCCCACGACTGCGGTTTCAAACTTGTTTGGACTCATCATTTGGCAATAGCCTGAGTTGGGTTAGAACTCTGAACGTAGCTGTTCACGGCTGAGGCCCAGAACACTAAAGCACTGAGATCCGCTAGCAACACTTGGCGAATCATAAATATATCCTATGTTAATTTATAGGAAATTACATGAGATTCAGTTGCATCGCGCAACATCTTCTGACAAAATGGTTCACTTTGACATAAACCTCGGTCATCCCGATCCGAGGATTGAATCCAAATTTGAAAAGGTTGGCGTTGCTTCTTTCAATAATGGCGTATTATGACCGCATTTAGTTCTGGATTGGTCACATCAGTTAGTGTTAACAAGAGCTAGGATGATACACAGGTCCCAGTAGATTTTGATGGACGCCCGGAACGCTACAGTACTGAGATAAGCGAGAAAGTTTTCGCAATGAAATAGGCATTCAAAATTGAGTTTATGTAATCCACTGCGTGGTTCAGTTTCGACAACCAATCTTCATTGGTACATTTGTTTACTTTGAAATCAAACTTGATCAGTCCGATCGCAAGGACCAGGTCCGAAATAAAAGTATTTGGGTGTTGCTCCTTCTATCAGTGATACATCACGACCGCGGTTTCCTCCTCTCGTAGGCTTATCAATTGGCGTTAGCCTGAGTTGCGTTGAATATCACTTCATAATAGTTCACGGCTGAAGTATAGAAAACTAAATTACCGTGATCCGCGTAATACTTTGGCACAGCGGAAAGGAATTTCCTGTTGATTTTGAGAAATATATTTAGGTATTTTTGCGACGCGCTACCACTACGGAAACTTCGGTTAAGTTTTACGTATTCCTTAGTCATCGCAACTGCAAATAACGTTTATGAAATGCAAATATTTGTGTATTACCTTTTCCAATACTGGCACAATACGACCGCGTTTTCGTCCTTGTTTGGTTACATCAATTAGAGACAGCCGAAGCTAGAGTAAAACGCAGATTCTATTAGTACACGGCTGACGCCCAGAACACTTTAATACTGAGATCCTGGAGTAATTATTTGCAATGAAGAAGCAATTTAAAGTTGAATTTGTGGAACCCGCTTTGTGATTGGGCTTCGACACGCAACCTCCATTGACACAGCTTTCTACTTTAAATCAATCTCCATCAGTCCGGTCGGTAGGATCGGATCCGAAATAAACTTGTTTGGGTGTGGTTGCTTCTAGCACTGCCACAACACGACCGCGGTTTCCTCCTTTCTTAGGCTTAATCAATGTCGTTATGCTGAGCTGGGTTGAAAATTAATGTCTACTCGTTCACGGCTGATACCCAGTATACTACACTGCGGAGATTCGCCAAGAACGATTAGCACAGCGAAAAAGAATTGCAAGTTAATTTCAAAAATTTTATTTGATGAATGTTTGCAATGCACTACATTTACGAAAACCTCGGTTTACTTTTATGTAATCCTCATTCATTCCTATCGAAATGAGCGTATTCGAAATGAAAATAGTTATGCTTTGCATCTGAAAAGCTATCACACAACGACTGAGGTTGCGTCCTGGTTTAGACTCATCGGGATTCAAAATTTTGAGCTGAGTTGATACGCAATGCAACTGCTTCACGTCCGACTCCAAGAACTCTATCCTACTGAGATCGGCGAGCAACGATGGTTAGAGAGAAAAGGAATTAAATTTTGACTTTGAAGGGAACCTGTGTGTGGATGGGTCGCGAAACGCAACCTCTATTGAGGCTTCGGTTCACTTTGAGGTAAACATCGGTCATTCCTATTGCAAGGACAGTCTCTGGGATGAATATGTTATAATGTTGCTCTTTTAAACATTAGCAATACACTACCACGGTATCTTCCATGGTTTGGACTCATCAGTTGGTGATAGCCTGAGCTGGGGTGGAACTCTGAGCCTAGTAGTTCACGGCTGACGCCAAGAAAACCAAAACTAGCAGATCCGAGAAAAAAACGCTTA